GCAATATTTAACCTAGCAGGATGGATCGGTATCCTAACGGAAAGGTGGTCCTGCCTGCAGATAACTAGGCCACATGTGATATTTAATATGAATGTGATATTTACCTTAAATTGCATCTGGAAGGAAACTATGAGCCAATACAGCTGACACATCAGAGGTGTTATAAGTGCAAACCTAAGGACACTCATAACTGCCGCCATGTTTTGGACTAATTGAAGTTTCTGGGTGCAATTTAAGGGCAGACTCATGCAAGAGAGCATTGCAGTAATCTAAAGAATTTTATCGGTTTTGATAAGGGAACAAAATGCTGGGGAAATACATTTAAACATTTGTTAAGTAGTAAAGCATTTAACTGTCTTTTATAAGAATGAAGATTTGTTCTCCAATCTTGTGGGTTGGTTTCCGAACGTTTTGTTACCAGGGTAGGTAACATCTTCAGCAGAGTTTAGGGAATGTCAGTGTCAGTGTGCTTCTGTTCATAAGGGCTTCGTGTGGTCAGCAGGTCTTGTGACGGGTCAGGTGGGGGGGTGTCAAGTGAGGGTCTGGTAATGCCTCTCCACCTTTTCATTGTATATTATTACTCATGTTGTCTTCAAAAGGCATGAAAGTAAAATCAGCAGTGAAATATTAGGATGAGCTAAGAAACTTTAAAATCAAAATCTGAAAATAAAAACATGTACATTTGCATAGAAAACCATAAAATTATGCAATTCAACATAAATACTTCACCTATTTTTCTTTATGTACTCCAGTACTATAAGTCAGTACTGCTTCCTGGTCTTTAAATTGACACATGGAACATAAAGAACAATAATCAGATTAGGCAAGCGATCAGGATGATCAACCAAGATAGTTAAGACAGAAACATGTTCCTTTTAGGTCATGCTACAGTTATAAACAAAGAAGCTACAATGAGTTTAGTAAGGTTAATGAAAGATTATTACTGGCAGTAATAGCTGATTTAGATCCTTTCACAAAAATAATTTTAAATAAAGTATGTTTACTTAAAAGGAAATCCTACTACATTTCCTGAATCCTGCTCTCTAGTATCAGAAGCACTTTTAATTGAAGTCACAATGCACTCTTCAACATTATCATGCTTAAGAATGGATTCATATAGCTGCTTCTAGATGAGTCAGCCTTCTTTCTGAATTTCAGAAAGTAAAACAAAGAGGAAAACAACGCCTTACACACCGACACACTGAATTCTTTATTGGCCAAGTGTGATTGGACACATAAGGAATTTGTCTTGGTGCAAATGCTCTCAGTGTACATACATTTTTTAAAGCCTTAATTTTTTTTTAAAAAAACAGCAAAATATTGACTAGGAATGTTATAAATGGATAAAGGGGACAGTATTAATGTGAAAGAAAGATAAAGACTTTGGCAAGAGTGCTTTTGGTATTATGTGGAATAAAATAAACAGACCAGGCCTATGTTGATTGTCTGATATCAAAAGCGGGGGGACCCAATGTGATTTACAAAATAAGATAAATGTAATAGGACTATGTCATTAAAGCTATGGAAAGACAAAATGGATGAAGGTATAAAGAAAGAGAATGAAGAAAGAAACCCCAAAACCCTGCCAGACTATTCAATGCGGAAAAAATGGAAAGATTCTTAAATATTCACAACAGAGAAATGATTGGTAAAGGTGAGAGGACTTAGCAGAGATGGCAAAATTGCTTAGAAAAAGATCAACAATTATATTTATCAGTGACTGGAAATCCCTTATGGACTTTTTGCTGAAAACAAGAGATATATAAAATTAGAATGTATACTAAATATAAACAAAACAAAAAACAAAATTGAATTAGAAAGACAAATAGCAAGTCTACATTAAAACAGTACACTTAGAAAAACCAGAATGCCCTTTTTTAGCAATTCCTAAAAGAAAGTGGTGAAACATAAGTATGCATTCTATGCATATAGAAAGGGTGATATAATACGAGAGCCATAGATTTAACACTGCTTTATCAAAAGTGTATAATCTTATTGTGTACAGGACAGGAATAATCACTGAATGAACATTACAGCATGCTAAAGGCAGAGCTTTTGTCTTTGTGAGGGCAGTTTTGATTTAGATAGCTTGCTGGCCTAAAAAAGGAAGATTACTCTAGGAAGGGCAGCTTAATCTCACTTTCTTTCCAAATTCATAATACATTACTTGGCACTAGGCACCACCCATCCATAACCAATCAAAGTAGATTTCAACGTAGCTTTTACCCAAGTGCTGTGATCAGGTTAAATGCAGAGTTATGAATCTGGCGGTCTTAACATATATATATCCTGGTTGTACAGTTTTTAATTGTTATCTGTTTTAATTTGTTTTATATTGTTATTTGTATATGTCTTTTGGTGTTGTTTAGTTGTATGTTGCGAAAGAGCACCTTATTTCGTTGTTCTCAGGTTCCTGAGCACAATGACAATAAATTTATCTATCTATCTTTATCTATCTATCATCAGAAATAGATCTAGTGCTTATGTTTATATTTCAGCATTTAACGCTCTGAAGATCTTGTAAGATATGTAGCAATTCTGTAGTATGGATAAGTCACTTATATATTTAAAAGAATTATAGTTCGGAACCAGTTTCTGCAACAAATAGCTTTGTCTTTTCAGCAGAATACGTTTAAATAGAGTTCTGAGGAACTGCCTCCCCCTTGTTACAACGGACTACCTCAATCTCACAGAGAAGGCATGCTGCAGGTACCAACAGCTAAAGACCTACATTGATGAGCCCCAGAAGTACCTTCTCTGTTGTTGCACCCACCTTATGGAACATCCTTACTCCTGAAATTAGATTAGCCACATCCCTTTTAATTTTTTTGTAAGGCCATCAAAACCTGGTTATGCTGTTGGCCTGTGGCTCTTTTTAATATGGTTCTGCATTTCAGTTAACCAAATTTATGAGAATCTCTAGGTGGAAAATGACAACATAATCATAAACATATTGTTACTTTGGCTTTATCAATTTCAATGTTTGCTATAGATATGCAAGTAATTAGCTTTTATCATATATAACATTTTAGTTTTAATTACATCATGAGAGATAGTTACCTATTTGCAGTTTACACATCAAGCTCAGATACAATGTGGTTGGTTTGGGTTTTGACATAGAGTAAGATAGTATAAAGAAACTGTAATTTGTATGTTTTTAAAAACATTGTTTGTATCAGACTACTACAGTTATTAAAATTACAGTTAAATAAACCACCGTTTAGCATTATTGCATAGAGGCCAGGTAAGAGTTTTTGATAATGCTTTGCTCCTCTCTATGATCATCTAGATTTTTGCAGTTTAGATCTGACAGTCCTAATAAAGGCCTCTGAACAAACTTCTTGTGATACAACAGGTGGGGCAATACTTTGCACCTGCCTTACATGCTATCCTTATTTATTAGATTTTCATCCCACCTTTATTAATTTACAAATAACTCAAGATGGCAAACATATTAATATTACTTCCTCCTATTTTTCCCACAGCAACCTTGTGAGATGGGTTGGGCTGATTTACTGACCCAAAGTCACTCAGCTGGCTTTCATGCCTAACACAGAACTAGAGCTCATAGGCCAAGAAACTATAGTATGTTTGTAACTTCAGACATGCCAGGTTCTGTTAATTTAGCCTCATAATAAAGTACATTTAGCTCACCTAGTTGTGTGTCCTGTCTGGTTTACGTGGGATGGCTGACATCAGTTTTGCAAGTCTAAAAGTACAAACTGCCTGCAGACACTTTTAAGAGTCTGATCAATTGGAGTGAGGGTTCCTAAGTTTCTTTGTCTGATCATTAATTGATTGCAGGCTTCCCTTCTCTTATCAGATAGGCTGTATTTCTTTCCCTTGTCGCCCAGTCATCCACACATTCCATTAACCATCAGTTAATGATAACTCGGAACTGACATTGCTGTCACTAAGCAAGTCATAAAGCACATCACATGACCATGCTGCTTAGTGACAGCATATCTACCGTGTTTCTCATATAATAAGGCTGGGTCTTATTTTTTTTTTGAGTCCTGAAAAAATGGCTAGGGCGTCTTTTCGGGGGTGACTTAATTTCCCCCCCTTGCATCTTTGGGTGGGCGGGCGGCGACGGCTTGGATGTTGACCTTGGCGTTGGTGGGGGACTTCGTATCGGGGTCAACGCAGGCAGCACCATATCCAGGTGTGCAACAAAAGTACTTCCTAATGGCAAGCCCCCCCACCATTCCCCCCCATTTCGCATGTTTTAATATAGGCCTTAATTTCATTTCATGCCTATAAAACATGCTGGGACTTCCTATTGGGGGAGGCCGCATTGTTGGAGAAACAGGGTAGCATTTCCAGTTGCCAGTTAAACCCTGCATCACTGTTAAGTGAGGACATCATGTGATCGATCATCATTTGCAACCTCCTGCTGCTGCTTGATTGCTTGTAGGAAGCCAGAAACCATGGGACCTCAGGATATTGCAACAGCTGGAATTTTAAGGACTGACCATTTGTTCAGTGTCATCACAAGTTTGAACCGTGGCTGAATGAGTGGTTGTTAAAGGAGGCCATCTGTATTGGAAATCATGTCACCTATTAATTGGATTGTAATCTATCTCAAAATTATATATTAATTATCTATTAACTATAAGCTATACATACATACATACATACATACATACATACATACATACATACATACATACATACATACATACATACATATATATATATATATATATATATATATATATATATATATAAATTAAATAAACTAGAATCTTTCTTCCTTTATGAATTGACATATCGGGAGGTAGGGATTCCAGTTATAAGCACTGCTGGAGTTAAAACCCTCTGGATTATTATCTTATTCCAGCTAATTCACCACACAGAATACGAAATGAAAGGAAGACACACGATTTTAAAAAACGCTCGCGCCGAAAAGCAAAAAGATCTGCAGATATACAAAAAAAGAGAGAGTGGTTAGTAAATCAAGGCATCCACCCAAGGCCCAGTTCCACATTTTTCCTGACCTCGCAAACATCACATCCACGCGTCCAGCTCCTGCCCTGTCTCTCATTACCTGATCGCCAGGCTCCTTTTCCAGCACCTGGGAACACAGATCCGAACAGAGTTGGAATTTCCTCCGCCTGAAATAACTCAAGGCGTGGAGCAAGGGGTCCATTTCCAGCCCCATAAGCGAGGAAAACGACAAATAACGCCACGATAACACTCCCCCTCCCCTCCTACTTAGGCCCGGCGTCTCGGCTTAGTTTTGCCCAGCAACGCTAATCAAGGTCCTTGGCGAAGCAAAGGCGACTAAGCAACTGCCTGAAGGGCCAGAGAGGGTGTTTCTCGCCTGCCTCGGAGAAGAGAACAGTCCGGCAAGGAAACTCAAACATTTCAGCGCCAGCAATCACTGCTGAAACTTTCCGGGGTTGCGGGTTACGTCTGATTTATCTGCCTTCGTTCTTGATTCACTTCTCTTTTTCGGGAACATTAGGGGTTTCTGACTTGTTTCCTCTCGTTATGTGGCATGAAAAATGCTAAAGTTGCAGTTTTTTGTAGAGTGCAGAACCAACAAATTTCATATGTTGATAGTTCGTGATTTGAACTTCACAAACACTGCAGAGGAAATTACTTGGAGAAATAGAATTAACATAATTTTATTTCGCAATAGCCGTTAATTATTGTCTTTGATTAGGAAGATAAACACATTTTATTACTTTTACCTAAGTCGAACTCGTGAAACTATTGCTTGGTGTATGATATGAGAATGTACTGTGTGGTTAATTTGTAGGTTCAGTGTGTTATGCAAAATCCTGAAAATTGAATTAACTCTGGAAAATCGGGGGATAATTTTTCTCTGCTTAATGCTATTGTTATGGATAAAAAGGGGTGGGAACAGGGAGAATACAGCAAGCTGGCAGGAATAGCCAACACTCCAGAAGATAGGCTTCATATACAGAAGGATCTTGACCAACTTGAACATTGCGCTCTATTTAACAAAATTAAATGGATAATCAGTTAAATATGAGCCAGCAGTGTGCTGCTTTAAGGGGGGGATAGAATCAAGGTCATGTGAAATGTTAATACCACTTTATAGTGCCTTGGTAAGACCACACTTAAATACTGCATCCAATTTTGGTTGCCATGTTGTAAAAAAGATGTTGAGACTCTAGAAAGAGTGCAGAGAAGAGCAACAAAGACAATTAGAGGATTGGAGGCTAAAACATAAATAATGGTTGCTGGAATTAGGTATGTCTAGCTTAATGAAAACAAGGACTAGGAGTGACATGATAGCATGTTCCAATATCTTGGGGGTTGCCACAAAGAAGAGGGACTCAAACTGTTCTCCAGAGCACCAGAAGGCAGGTCAAGAAGCAATGGATGGAAACTAATCAAGAAGAGAAACAACCTAGAACTAAGGAGAAATTTCCTGACAGAACAATCAGTGAAACAAATTGCCTCCAGAAGTTGTGAATATTCCAACACTGGAAGTTTTTAAGAAGAGATTGAACAACCATTTGTCTGAAATGGTACAGTTTTCTGCCTGAAGAAGACTTCCAAGGTCCCTTCCAACTCTGTTATTCTGTCCTGTTCCGAAACAGTCCTTTACCGCTATCTGAGCCCTACTTAATAACTTAGTGATGTTTCACACATCAAAGAAAAGTGCAATTTCCTTAACTATGATCTGCTCAAAAAAACAAGAACTGAGTTCAAAGAGTCTGTCAAACAGGATTTGGATTTAATCCCCCACCCCAAAACTAATTAAATTTATCTTTCTTTTCTTTCTCTCTCTTTCCTTCCTTCTTTTTCTTCCATTTCTTTCTCTTTCCTTTCTTTTTTCCTTTCTGAAGAAAATACTGTATACATATGGGTGTATTTATATTTCCATATGTGAGAGATAATTGGGGTCCATTGATGTTATAAATGGAGAATCTTAATAGTTTCTTTTGTCAGGTATATATAGACATGTGTCTAAATGACACTCAGGTGCATATGCGAGCATTTTTTGAAAAGGAAAAGCCATCCAGGACTTCTTTCAGCTGATGTTTGCAATCTTAGATTGACAAATTGTACAGGATTTTCTCAATATAATACTTTATTAATGTTTATGATAATTTAGTACACGGATGTCAAACTTTCAGTGTCACCTTGCTGTCACATGACATATTGAATGTTTTTCCCTTTCGCGGAGCTGAGGTGGGCATGGCCTGCATGTGACGCATCTGGCCCGCGGGCTGCCACTTTGACAGCCCTGCATCAGATTAGTATAGCAATCCCTTTTGGAATGGAAATATATTCTTGAATTTTTTTTGGGATGAATAGAAAAGTGTGTATGTGTATCAAGCTGTTTTTGTCATTAATGATCACAGTTGTACTGAATACCTTAATGGTTATATCATTGTACTAATTATAGATTGAATTTGGTTTGAACAATCAAGTGAAATTGAACTCATTCACTGGAAGGATTCTGGATAGGTATCTAATTTACTGTGTTTCCATCAGCTGATATCAACAGAATATGATTGTATCAGCTGCTAAATTCTTAGCAAGTAAAGTATGAAGACTTGTAAAGTGATGTCCAAGTGTCAATTTGTTATATTTTTATTTTTTGTATGCGTTGTGTTCAGTGTTACTTTTTATAATTACCACTTGATTTTTACTTCATTACAGAATGTTGAGAAAGGATGTATTATATTTTTGAAATTCCTTCATATTTTAAGTAAAAAATATTTAAAAATTATTTCAAATGTATGAAAATAAGCAGCATTTAAATGGCCACTTTGTACCATAATACTTATCCATTCTTCCCTTTTTAACCTCTCCACTTACTTGAGTTGGCAAAATTTCAGATGACCATTAAGTGGAACAATTATCCAGATTTTTGCAAGCCAGATATTTAGCCCTACATTTCCCCTCTCACTCTATCTCCAAAATTTTGGAATTTTTCGTTCTAGCAGTCTACTCAACAATGAGGTGTTATTAAGAAATGTCAGCCAGTGAAAGGAAATATGCATAGGATCTGACTTTGTGTACTATGGTAAGCTATAATTTGTTTTCATTATGGTTGAATAAACAGTAATTGCTGGATTCAGCTGAACATTAAGATATTAGTCATGGTTTATAAATAACATTATGGCTTAGCATGAGATAACCTGACCTGCTCTGTCTCTATGTAAGGTATCCTACTCAACAATCAAAAGCTAAACTTCTGAGATCAACATAGGAGGTCCTTCCTTGTTTATCTACTTGTCAAGCAAATTAGGCCGATAGTCATAAGGTATAGAACTCTCTTACCAGTATTGTTGACCCCCCTTCCCCAAATTCCAATGGAATTACAGGCCTTCCAAGTTAGTCCTGAAATATCACCTCTTTACCTATGTTTATAAGTTTCAGTTAAAACTGACACATCTTTGTATATTCACATTAAAAAAAAATTAACAAAGGAACATAAGTACCGGTAATAAAAATCTAGCACATCCATAGAATGTGGGTTTTTTTTTACACAACGACCTTAGAAAAGATGAAACGTCAGAATGGCATGCTATAAAATTATAACTATTATAAATATTATAATTATTCTGGTTGGCCTGGGGACTCAGTGGGGGAGTACCATGCCATAGGTACTCTGCTATTCAACTAATAAGCAACTAGATTAATAAGTAATTTTAATATAACACATAATGTAAAATATGGAAAACAGTTATATCAGAAATACTGTAGCTAGATTTCTCCTTTGGAAATGTATAATATACAAATAAATAAAATAAGTAACTCAGGAATTTTGCCAGCTACTAGATAAAATATACTTAGTTGGCTATATAGTCCAAGGATCTGATTTTCCATATAAAAGCTTAATATATTCATATGCTAAGTATGCATATGTAAAAAGCTTGTTAATCTTTTTTATGATTCTCAGTTGCAAAACAGATGGAGAATTAATTATGTCAGGAAAAATGCAAGATATTTTTTATGTGCTGATAGCCTGGGTTTACTGCATCAACCCTAGAGCAGTTCCATGATGTACAATGTATCTCAATCAGCTAATTTTAATGCAGCAAGTCTATAGTCTAGCCATTCTCTTTACTTCAGTTTTTCTGTAAACTGGGAAAAAGTGTTGCCAGAAACTCTATAGAAACCATTATTCTGGTGGTCCAGTTTAGTTTGCTATTCTACAGTTCAGTGCAACCATTTATACAGTTGAGATAGTTGGTTGGTGTCTACGCTTATTTGGTATCTGATTGATTCACTTCTAAGTGGCAATGCCCCATCAAACAACGTGTACCCAGTTCCTTTCATCATTCCTTGCAGGACTTGATTTCCTGGCCCCTCATTATATTGATAGCTCTCTCTGGAGCTCTGATTTGTTGACGTTAAATTGCAGCCCATGGAATTTGATACAGAATTCTAACTAGGGGAAATAGAGGTGTCTATTTCCCTTGTTCCCTAACAAGGGAAAATAGAGGTGTCAATCAGTTATCATGATCTGGGGTCTACATTTCAAAATGACATTTGCCTTTTTAGCAACTGCATCATATTCAATTTATGATACACTATGTCATCTAGAATCATTCCCCATATAGTATTGCCAAGCCAGATCTCTTCTGTCTTATACTTGTGCCTTTTATATTTTCTTCATTTATTTATTTTATATGATACCCATTGCATGGTTCGAGGCGACTGTGAACCTCATCTGGATGAAAGACTATACATCCCATTCATTCCAGCCTGAAACCTGTTCTTAGCTTTTAAATTTTTTTCTTCTTTTCTAAAATAATAAATATTAATAATCATTCCTCTTAGTTTGGGTCATCTGCAAATATAATCAAACCTCAACCCTTTACTCGTTGGCAAGAAGAATATCAAACAACTAATATTTGTTCAAGACAGGAACTTGAACTCCACTTCATGCTGTTCTCTTAAGCTCAACTGGAGCTATTTAGGAGTATTTTCTGGATGTTGTCACTCAGTTCTGAATCTATCTAATAGCAGTGGCATCTAGTCTGTATTTTATCATTTTATTAATGTGGATGTCATGAGACTTTTTATTGAATGCTTTGCTGAAGTCAAATATATGTCCATAGCATTCCTTTGAATGCGAGGATGCTAGGCTGTTGAAAAAGCAGGTTAAATTAATTGGCTCCTGTACATTGTTGCATTGCAAGTGCTGATAAACTTTCTGTTTAATAATCTGCTTCAGGATTTTGCTCAGGTCTGTAACT